CGGGGCTGCGGGCAGGCGCCGCCCTTCACCTTGGCCCGAGCTGGGGTCAGCCTTTCCTCCGGAGCCGCCAGCCCCGCCGGGGGGCTCCTGCAAAGTGGCTTTCGCCTTTGTTGGTGCTGCATGTGCTTTTTTTAGGACGCTTACGCAGCTCTCGTTGCCCTTGCCGGTCTTGCTCAGAGTGCCAGCGCGCAGGGAAGTTGGTACCGGGGCGTGCTCGGGAGGCAGCGCGTCCTCTGCGTTGGCCCCGCGCGGCTAACCGAGGAGCGTGTCAAAATAGTTCTCAACTTCGTGTGAGCAAACGCGCTGAAGTGAACAGATGGAGTGGGAGGGAGCTATTTTTGTGGTTTCCCCCCCTCTGCAATTCATCATGCCTTCTGTTTGCAGCTTTAAATCAAGGAATTCCATGACTCTTGGGCAGCTGACCCGAGGCCGGGTTTCAGGAAAGTCAGAGGGCCTTCGTACTCTGTAAGCCTGCAGGTCTACTGGAGACAAGTCTTAAATATGTGGTTAGAGGAACGTGGTGCTTTATTATACCCTTGGGTTCCCTTGTGAAAGCAAGGATCTCTCAACTCATTGTTGGGTAGAGGTGAAACCTAGCCGGTCAACTTTGAATTCCAGAGCTCGATGTCTTTGTGGAGTTCACCATGCTGCTGTTCGTTCAGCAGAGAGCTAAAGACTTCTCCAGGTGATGATTTGATGCGTTTGAGTCAAGCTTCTCTTCTGACTTGCTTTCCAGAATGTTCTCTACCCTCATCCCCTCCAGCTCGGTACGGCGGTGGTGCGTGTCTCCAAAGAGTCATCTCATCTTTTCCCTGAAAATACTTAGCTGGGTCAGCTAGCAAAAAATTTGAGGACTATATGGAAATGCTAAAATGTTCTCCTTGGTGCTTTTCATATTTTTAACACTTCTAATCTTCAGTTCTGCTTTACTCGCTCTGCATCTTAGATTTCTTCTGTTTTTGCATTTCTACTTAGAGATTTCACTAATTCTGCTTTTTCCTGTTGCTGTTTAGAGGTTATCTTCTTGACTCTGAGTCTTTGTGTCTGTAATCTCCGTTCTCCTGCTCTAAGCCTTGACCTGGCTTTGTTCTTTGTTTCTTGTTATATTTCCCCTCCCCCCTTTGTTTCTCTTGCTACCTGCCTGCCATTTCTTCCTTCTTCCTTCTTGGTGGAATCTTGTTTGTAGGCTCCCTCCAACGGAAGAAATTTTTTTTCTTCCTTTCTCTTTCGTTGGTCTTCAGTGGTTTTAGGTCTTCTACTCCCGAAGAAGTCAACGATTCCATCTTCGTCAGTCCTTGTTCAACGCTTGGTGTTTCTGCTTTCCTCAGCGTTATTGCAGTAACGGTTCCCCTTGATCTTGAGACCTAACAAAAAAATCTTAATGTCACTTCTTCCTGTGCTCTGTGTGGGATAGATTTAGGGCTCCTCTTAGTGGTAGGATTTTAATAGAGCACATACAGATTGAACTACTTCAAATAAATGTTTTTTTAAATGACTTCTGATACTGCTCTCATCCCAGAGTTTGTAGCGTTCATAAGCTTTAAATAGGAAATCACAACTTTTTTTTTTCTTTTTGAGGAAGCTGGTTTAATAAGAAATTAAGTTGCTGTTAAATTCACAGTGTAAACAGATAGAAACCCTGAGGGGATCTCCCTCATTTCTCTGTTATATTTACCCTAATTATTACTTTTAATAGCGTAAGTGAAGAGTGAACTGTCTGTGAGTGTGAGTTAGGTCCCTTCAGAAGGTTTAAACGTTCCAGATGAAGAATTCCATAGTATCAGTTGGTACAGGAAGACAATACATGGCAGCAATATTGGAAGCCTACTCTTTACATAAGGTTGCTCTACTCTTTACATAAGGTTGCTCCTGCTTAAATAAAGAATAGGTGTTAAACCAGTGCAATTAAGTGAGCTAGAACTTTTGTTTGTCGTTTAAGACCAACTGCGTTAAGTTTAAACCAGTGTAAAAACACTAACGCACACGGTTTTGCCTGTTGACTTGAATTACTTCAATGCAGCATGCTTAGATAAACTGATTTAACTTTATGTACACAAATCAATTACACAGTTACAAAGGTAATACTTTACATGTTAAAGTTGAGAGGTCTTTATGTAGATTCAGGAAACAGCAGTGTGTCTAGCCTGATATAACCCTGGCCACCACAGCCTAGGCTTCTATAAATAGCAGAGGAATCAAATGTGGAACCTACTTACGAACTTTTATCTACCATCTGCCTCCTCAGATACAATTTTGAATAGATACTGTATATGAAGGTTATAATAAGAACAGTTTGTTTCTCTTGGTTCCTGTTATGTGATCTCTGTGTTCTGAATTTTTTCATTTGGTGCACCTTGAAAAATAGGTCTAGTGAAGTCTTAGCTACCTGATCTACTGTAAAGAAAATCTGTCCAGCTTGCCATACAGAATATCTTTTCATTTTCTTTAGGATGCCTAATGTAAACCTAAATATGGTTTGGTATAAGAGGGGCGGGTGTTAATCTTTCAGTAATAGTTACAAAAAAAGCAGCTTATAGTTTTATCTGATACCTTTATCTAAGGAAGCCAGAATATAGCATAATAGATGCATGCTCATTTGTTTTAGGTACCTTGCATAATTCTCAGTTGTTTTAGAAAACGTTGGATCCTTACACCTCTTAAACCTTTTGATTCTCGTGCAAGTTTCAGTGTTTTTGGTGCTTACCTTAATAAGCAGTAGGTGAGTTGGTCTGACTTACTAGAATGTAATTTTGATTGAGAAAATACCTAAGTTTGTAATTTTTAATCATGTAGATGCTTGATAAAGGATTAAAAGCTACTAGTTATGGCAAGGTTTCTTAGTCTTTAAGATCCAGTGGCAAGTCTCCAGGTGAAAATAGTTTGTAGTTTTTTCCCCTTATGGCGTCTAACCATGGGCAAATAAAATTTTGCAGCTCCGTCAGAGATAATTGACAATGTTTTGAAGAAGACAGAATCTTCAGTTCTAAAGCATTTATAATAGACATACGTTCATAGTTCAGCAGATGA